TTAACAAAACGAAACTAGTTGCTTTTGACCTATAATTTTTATGTACCATCCTGTAGCATACTATCAGACTGCACGAGAACGACATATCCCCCCCCTCCCCACACACACACAGAAAAAAAAGAAAAGAAAAAGAAAGAAGAAAAAAAATCATCATTCGATACTTATAGCTGTGGTGTGTACGTCTGCCGAATATTGAGCCACCAGGGTACCCGTGGGCTTCCATTGGATATGTGCTCAACCTCACAGCGTCGAAGTCATTTTGAGCTGCTGTACTATTTGCTACGAGGTAGGCTGCTTCATATGAACGTATATACCCGCTAGAAAAGACGGTAGAAATTGACGAGACCGAGACTAAAATACCTCCACCAAGCAACCATGATCTCCAAGCCGAACATGCTGGTGTAATTTGATGAAAAACTGGCTTAACTGTTTTAAATACATATCCCATTGCTTTGATTTTCACTACATTATTTGTCCAGGATTAATCCATGAGTAATCCTGCTATACCGCGGAGCCACACAGTGCATTTCTTCCTCGTCCTCAAAGTATCTTCCCATATCTGCCTCGTATTGGTAATGCTTTAAGATACAATTATGTGAACCAGGATTAAAAGTATGGGCGTTTCCATGACTAAAAATCTTGACCGCCAACACCTGACTATTTGAAATAGAAGGGAATATTTATTAATCTTGTGCGGATGGGACAACATTACAGGTTATAAACTTATCTTTAATATTTTCCGGTAATAGATACATTCTAGCACGTTCTTTAACTTTGATGGATCGGTATCTGTAGGGTGTGATGTCTGAGGGTCATGACGATCGCTGGATGGACTCTGGATTAAAATCCAGAGAATTGCCAATAATCGGTGAATTTTTTTTTCTATTAGAATCGCATAATACCAATAATAATATTTTATTGGAAATCCCAAGGGCAATACTATTTCTGACCCCTACTGTGCAGATGCAAACGCTGCCAATCTGCTTTGCTTAAGTCCTGATTTTGACAATTAGCTAAAAACTTGAGTACACGTTTCCAGCAAGTTTTGATGAGCTTTGACGCGAATGACATTCGTGGTTACGCATTCCTTGCTGGCGCTGTAGATTACGCAGAAGCTTGTTAAGCTCATGCAAGTACTCCGAGAGCGTGACTCGCGTCTAGTGACTCCATGTCCAGCATACTCACATCGTCGACGACAGGACCAGCACTTATTTCAATGGCGGCCCACCTCTGCGTTCATTGTCTCGTACGAGTAAGTGAAAGTGAAAGTAGCTTCATTAATAAAGTTGTGATGCGCAGCGTATTCAGCTGGAAGGCAGTTGCGGCCTTGTCATTAATTCTGCAGCGACTGCACTAAAGGAGCCTGGAAGCGCATAGTCCGATATCTCACTATTCTATCTGTCGCCGTGGTGAGACCACGTGGCCCACATTCTCTACCACTGGCGTCGCTCCTCCACGCCGTCAGAGAGTTCATTGAGCATGTTGAAGTGGACTTGCATTACCGTAACTTACCAGATCTGTGCCGTGTTTGGCTTCGACTTTCATCCAATCAGGCATTTGGAATTGCGATCACTACACAGGAGCGAATGGACGCAGCGATGGAGGTGATCGTGCTGGACGACAGCAGCGACGCGTCATCCGAGGGCGAGATAGCGCGAGCATCAGCGTCCACGACGCCGCCGGCATCCCCAGCGATGAAGTGGAGGCGCACACAGTCTGTCGGCTACGCTGATGCGGTGGAGGCGGCGCTTGCGATGGCTGCAGCTCTCGAGACGAAGGAGCCGAGTACCAGTCGCATCACGAAAAAGAAGAAGAAGGCAGTCTTAGCACCGCCATTGCTGCCTACGAAGGCCAAGAAACTACAGCCAAAGCAGAACATTAACAGGAGGTCGCTTCAGACTGGGAAGGACCGTGAGAAGACCGTTCACAAAAGCAGGGGGCGGGAGATACAACGACCAGCGAAGTCTTCGCGGTTGCAAATGAGGTCGAGCAGCCTCAGTTCCAGTTCAGGTTCGGATTCCAGCTCCAGTTCGAGCTCTGGGTCTCGTAGTCGCCCTCGCTTTGCTGTTACTGGAGCTGGAGTTGGTGATCGACCGAGTACTGCGTCCTCAGAGAAAGCAGGGCTAAGTGGAAGACGACAGAAGCCTGCTAGCAGTGGTCGGCATCAGTTAGAAGGTCGACGTCGCGCTTCCTCTGGCGCACAACCAGCAGTTCAGAGCAAGCAACCTGCGGAGGTCGTGAATCTCATGTCTTCGTCGAGTTCCTCCGAGTCATCCGTCGGTTGTCGCTTGCGGTCATCGTCAGAGTCTTCGCTGACGTCGTCGGACGATGAATCACCGACTCGGACGCCTGTGAAGACCGGGAAGAAGCGACTAGTATTGAATGCCCGTGCGACCAAGCTGAAGCCAGCCACTTTTTCTGGGTCAACGAGCGCGGAGGCAGTGAACCGCCCTCAATTCCCGGCGCATTCAAGCATACAGTCGAAGAGTAAATCATTGGTGGCAGGCAAGCGAAAGCGAGTGCTGCCTCAGATGCGGCGAGAGATTATTAAAAAGCGAGATAGAGACCTTGGAGATCAATTAAAGAAGAAGAGGTCACACAAGAAAAAAACCATTGGGAACGGTGCACGGCGTCGCGACTCCGTATCGAAGCTCTCAACTACGACACAGAGTGCGCCGGTGTCTCTGCTGACGTCGTCATCGACGGACTCGTCTGACTCGTCTTCGTCGTCCTCAACGCGGAGACCAGTATCAGCGCGGAAAACCGTGACGATGCCAAGCACTGCGTCACAGTCAACAAACCAAGCACGTGAAGGGGAGACGGACGCGTTTGGTCGATACCATTGCCGTAAATCGGTGACTGTCGACACGAAAAAATCACCGGGAAAAGCCAAGTCTATCTCGCCGTCGTCGGCGTCTGCAGTGTCTGCCAACTCGGTG